TATAATATTGATACATATATAATATTTATATACATACATCCATCCATCCATCCATACATATTTATTTATACATGCATCCTGTAGACTAAAAGTTTGCCATCCATAGTTATCCTGATCTATTTCATTTTAAGTATCCAAGAGAGGAAGACCAACCTTCAGACGGCGCTAATCTTGCACAACCTGTTTAGCACGGCCCTAACCTCATCTGGATCAATCTTGGATTGGGGGCGAATCAAAGCATATAAATCACAGGTTGCAACATGTAGTGCAATGTTAGTGAGAAATTAAAAACTAGTGATGGTGGTGTCGGTGGAGCTTCGAAATCGAAATCGAAATCAGAGAAGGTGTGAGGATTCAAAATAAGGGTTTACAAAGGCTTTATACTCAGATTCAAAATAGGCTTCGAAATTGAAAGAGAGAATCACCGAAACATAAATTTTGAAAACGAAATCAAGAGACAGAACTTCGAAATCAAAATAGAAATCGATCTGTTGAGATTGCATCATTCTAAGATGAATCAGCAAGAGATCAATCGATAAACAGATGAGTGAGTAAGAGATTAGGGCATTCTGCTGGAAGAGATTAGGGCATCTATTTAGAAAGAGAGAGAGAGAGACTGAACGATGAATAGATAAGTGACTAGAATATTCACCAGCTCGCCTATATAACAGCGAGGACATTTAAAGGCGCTTCTAAACGCTTTCAAATATTTATTTAAAACGGTGCCATTTTAATATTTAAAAAAAATGTCGTTAAATATTATAAATTGTGACGTTTCATAAAACGCCGTTAAATAAACGTCGTCAAAACCCTTATTTCCTGTAGTGTAAATAACTTGACGCATAAGAGAACCCACGGGCGACCTCTACAGCCCATGTTTGCAAATATGGAAATTACCAAAATACCCTTGACCTAAAAATCCTAGAAAATATAAACTAATCATAAAATAAGACTCCAATAATACTAGAAACATTATTCTATAAGTTTCCTACCAGTTTCACTTTGAAATCATGCCAATTTCCAAATATTGCCACTTCTTTGAATTTACTTTTTCTTGAGCTTCTTATATTCTACATCACCTGGAGGGGAGTGAAATGGAGTTCTACTGTTAAAACTTAGCAGACTTGAACAACTATTTGTAGAAACTAAGTAAATCCACTTCTTATAAATTTACTAATTAATGAGGATAAGTAACCATTTCGATTTGATGCACATGGTAATGACCTTCTTAACAACACCACAACATTTTGTAACACAAATCATAAAATATCATGACTTTTCTCACCCACAAAAAGTATTAACTTTTTGCTCACCACAAAAACTTTTCTTTTGGTTGCACGCAAGGTTGTTAAAATCGGGATCTTATGTTGGATCATTGGAGGTGTTTACAGGATCAGATCGTAAAATCGGATCGAGGATCGTAAGATCCCATTGAACAAGACAAATTATGTAATAATTTAATTTAAATAAAATTTCTTAAAAAGTATACACAAAATGAACCTATATTCTATTAAAAAGAAGTGAAGATATTGTGAAAAATATAATACTCCATGTAAAATGTACATATAATATTATACAATGGAAAGCTCAATGGTAAAAGTTTTGTGTTTCATCAAAAAAGAAGGTGAAGAAGAAGAATTCTATAGTAAAATACTTTACAATCTACAATAATGCATAAAAAATGAAGAAAAAATATTTAATAAAGTTGGATATGAAAATATATTAAGAACTCAAAAGTGCAGCTTAACTGAATGATAAGGTTTGTTGTTAGCATCTCTGGTAGAGCGGATTCGAGTCACAAAAATAGGCTTTCCAAAAATTGGGATAAAGTTACAATCATCTTGCACTCCTCAGTCTCCGCTAAAGCTAAGTTGTTTTTTCGACTAGTTAGTTTTCTTAAATTGCGCAATATTTAAATATTTGTTTCCTAATTTGTTGTTTAGTCTATTTGATTCAATACTACTTAATTTTTATTATTTATTTTGACCACATAAATTGGTATTTAGATAACAAATATAAAATTTATAATAAAATATGTCACACAATGCAAAACAAAGATTGTAAATTGGATCGGATCGGATCAGATTCGGATTGGGATTCCATGATCCTATAAGATCCCATTACCAGGATTGAAAGATCCTACTTATAAGAAATTTTTTATACGATCCGGATCGATTGTGCCTAAATGGATCATAAGAGCCAGATTGAGATTTTGATAACCATTGCACGCCATAAATTCACTATACATGACTTTTACCACAAATTGGCATACAACACACACCACAACCATTCGTAATTTTCACCACAAAAAATCGTAACTTTTTAAAATGTGCCCCTTTTTAGGGACGCGTATCGTAGATTTCCTGATTGATTTAAATAGTACAACTTGACTAAATAAGCTCTGGTCATTGATGATTAGGTGGTGCTGCTTTTTATGATTCTCTGTCCTGTTATTATTTTTAACTACTGCTAATTTTTACGTGGTTTCAGACTTCACAGTAAACTTCATCAAAATATCAATAGAGACTATCTTGGACTGCTCAGTTGGCACAGAGTCAAATTTTGGAACTTTAAGCAAGTATTTGTCCAATTCTCCGTCAAAATTTGATAATTTAAAAACCTAACAGATGACTTAACCTACAACATTTTATCAAACTTATTTTAAGAAAATTAGGAATCTATGTTTGATTTCACTGATATGTTAACTTCCTGTTATTGAAATTTGAAAGTAGCACGAGAGAGCATTTGATTAGCTAGATGTAATGTCAATGCATAGATACAACAAATTTTCAGCCTTGGTAAAATGTTCAGTGTGCCTATTTTCTTGGCTCTGTCATCCTCTCATGCTTGGGGTAACAATGAAAATCTTGGGATTTTTTTTTTTTTGGCTTCTTGTCTCTCTTGTGGATAGGCTCCTTCCACATTCCAATTGCTTGGGAGAAAATACAAAATTTCCTTCTTGTTCTTTCTTCTGCCAATTCAAAAATGTCACTTCGCATGTGCTTTTCCAGCCAACAATCTAGCAAAGTAAGCAAAGACAGTGATTCCAATAAGGAAGAGAAAACCAGTTTCTCTTCCTCAAATGCTTAGATCAATTAAAGGCCACTTTAGAATTTTTTTTTTCTTGTTATATCTATTTATTTTTCTTAAATTCTATGATTGCCATGATGTTGTCATTTTTTAGGAATTTCTATATGAATTTCTCTATCTTTGCATATATGTTGTAATTCTTTTGGAGGTTTGATTTCTTGGACAGTTGAATTGAGATTCATTTTCTTTACTTTGTATTCGTGTTTCACTAATATTATTTACTTTTTGTTGGTTTTTTGTGGAACGTGGGATTTAGCCTTTCAAATTCTTAGATTTCTTATATATATAATTTGTTTTTTATTATCCTGCATCTATCATCTATTCCTATTAGTGGTTTAGTTCTTCCATCATTTTTAGTTGGCTCCTTATAATAATGGCTTACCAATTAAGATTTGTAATTTTGTACCGGTTTGATGTTGGCATACCAATTGAGTTTAGTGATTCTCTGTATCAGGGAATTTACATTCTGAGCAAGTCAATATGAATAAACTACAAACAAAAGGCTACAATTTTTAATGAATAATGTCCAACCTGGAATTTTTTCTCCTATCAACCAACCAATGCAAAAGAAGCTAATAAAACATTAAACCATTCAAAACTGCTTTTTGTTTATTTCTATCAAATTCATTATGTGTTCTCATGTTGAAATTTGTGGATGCGTCGTTTTGTTGCCCAGAAATGTAGCGAGCAAAAATGTAGTCTATCTTTTTGGTTTTAGTTTTGTCTGTGTTTTATTTATTATTTATTTTTTATGTCATACTCATCTAAAATGTGTTGTTTATACATCATTTTTATACTTCATATTCACTTTTACGAAAAATTGGAACTGGAACTGAAATTACCATTAATGGGCATTAAGATTGCACGACGGCACCCACTTCCACCTCACTTGCAAATGTGAATGCAAGGCTATCAGGCCCCCCATGAAATGTCTTTTAAGTCATTCTTCTTTGCTCTGTTGTTTTTTTATGGTTGTGTGTGTGTAGACACAAATTTTAAAACATGAAGTGTTTCAACACATTTTAAAATTTTATGTTACAAATGTCTATTGTTTAGTTTTTTTGGACTAAACAGTGTTGATTATTTGAATAGCAGGTTCTTATTTCCGATCTGTATTTCAGATCGTTAATTACACATTTTATACAAATGAAACCTCCGATTAATGAAGAACAAAATAAACAACAAATGACAAATTAAAAAAAAGAAATATTTTATTGAGATTGTTATGGGTTTTGAACCAATATTTTATTGAGATTGTTATGGGTTTTGAACCCTCGAATACAAAATACAGTTTGGGTTTGGAACCCTTTACCTATTCATCGCCATTAGCGGAGGCTCTTGAGTTCTCTAGGCTTCTCTTCTTCTTTCTTGTAACGATTTGTTTAGCTCTCAATTTCTTTCTCTCTCTCTCTTCTTTTCCACTTCTGATTTTCTGATGCCCCCGTCTTGTGTGATGGTCCTCATATTTATGGAGGGCCATCAGGTGATAGGAACGCTTCATCTTCATTTTGAATTTCAAATTGAATGATAGCGCCTATTTGAATTTTGAATAATAGCGCTATCTTATTAATCATATATCTGATTAACCGGATTGATTTTTGGGGTTTCATCCTGTGTGGTGTCCTTGCTGTAGGCTCTACAGGTGTCATCTTTCGTAGGCTCCACGTGTCATTTGAGCATCTTGAATAACGTCGTTAAGAGACGACGTTGTTTTATTTATACACTTCAACGGAGCAAGTTAATCATTTTGGGAAGTGATTGCCTACAACAATCTTATTGTAGGCTCTATGTGTGTCATTGACTGTATTTGAAATTTAAACATAAATTTGGTTTAAAATTTATGTGCCAACAGTGTGATGTTTAAAAAATCATGAAAAAAATATATGTTTTCTCTTGTGGGTTAAAAACAGGAGACATCTGGATATCTTGAGCTCCAGCACCAAAAACTCCTGGATATGTCGTAACAGCCTCCAGTGGTGCCAAGGCATGCCCTTGAAAGTGGCCAGACTTAAAAGGGTTAGTGATGGCTCCTGCAAGAATTGTTTCAATGTTCATAATATGATGCCAACCCCATTAGGTGACAGAAGGGCCTGACCTGTTGGAATAGCAAATGGCTGTGCACAGAGACGAGGTCATTGCTAGGGTTGTCACTTCTATTGTAATTGTCATGGCAGATACCTTTGTTCATCTTGTGCCCAGTAGTGGTATTTTGATATCACCATAAGTTACAGCAATATTCTTGTTTTTATGCACAAATGTCAAATATGCAAGGTTTTTGTATCTCTAGATTAACCATATTATTCTCAAAATTCATTTGGCCTTCACAAAATCTAGATCATATTCCACAAATTTGGTTATCAGTTTATCTTTGGCGGTTTTCTTATTTATTTATTTATATTATTATATCATGTTCCCTCATATTCAGACAAAACCCTATTCTCTAGTTAATATTACTGCTGCAGTTTCCCAGTTGCTCTTCAGCAGAATTTCCAGAATTCCAGTTAGAAGAGCCCATTCTCTAACAAGCTAAACAACCCTTATACTGTGTATTTTACCTCTATGTACTATGCTATTTTTAATGAAGTACCAAAATGAATAAATAAATAAATTCATGTCAAATATATGTCTTTCTTGCTTATTTTGTTGGGGAATATCAAAAAAGTGGGAACATAGTAAAATAATTTTAAATACATGAAAGTGCGACATTTTTTTACACAAATTAGTACATCATGAATTTTAAATTATTTTACCATCTTTTCATTTTTTTAATATTTCCCCTATTTTGTTTCGCCACTAATCTTGAATTCTTCTTTCCTGCACTGTGAAAAGTATGGAAACAGTTTCTCAGTATGTTGGACGTAAAATTGTATACATTTGATTGTTCCCAAACCTTAGCTGTTCTTAGATAGTCTATAACTCTGCTTTTGATGTGTACAGGGAATATATTATAGCACTCAAATTGTCAATTAAATTAAGGAAAATTTCAATTCTTTGCTTTGCTTTGTGGACCCTTAGGGGTCTCAAACAAGTTCGCACAAATAAAATAGAACATGAAATGAATTTAACGTAGACATTGTTTTATCACTTTTCCTCTATGTTTTTGCATCTTTACTCCAGGATAAGAAAACAGAAAATACATCAAACAAAAACACAACCATGCCATTGATTCCGATTCTCTCCCCTTTTTTTTTTCTTTTTGTTTCTTTTTTTTTTTCTAATTATTAAATTAAACTCATTCTCCCACACTAATAGATATACACTTAATTTTCTGACACAAGTTTACAAAAAAAAATCCTGAACCAATTCCTACATGTGCTGGCAATAATTCTCAGAATTCCTGTAGGCTTGAAACTGGGAAATTCTTGATTTATACAACTTAGAACATGACATCGATTTGTGTACTCACATCGATACAATAGCCATAAGAACTTACTGGAATTGGGTCAGAAACAATCCCTGGAGAGGATCACTCTTTCTGCACAAGCTGCTCAACATCTCTAAGCTCCACTCCACTCCCTTGCTGCTCATGTTCACTCTGAAACAATGCCTCAATCTGCTCCAGTGATTTTCCTTTTGTTTCAGGAACAAGTGCGTAAACAAAGGCAACAGAAACGGCTGAAACTGCTGAAAAAATGAAGAAAGTTCCAGCCATTGTAATTGCACGTCCCATGGAGAGAAAAGACATGGCAATCAAACCGCTGCACACTCTGTTACCCACAGCTCCGAGTGCTGCTGCTTGGGCGCGCAGCCTCAAAGGGAAGATTTCCGATGTCAAAACCCAACAAACAGGACCAATTCCCACTGAGAAGAAAGCAACATTTCCACAAACCGACAGTATTGCCATTCCAATCCCGAAAGGTGTGTGCTTCAACAATAATAGAGTAAGTCCCAAACAAAACAAACAGATAGTCATACCAATCGTGCTTATATATAGCAGTGGCTTTCTTCCAAGTTTGTCTATAAGAAGAATAGCAACTAATATAAATGCAGTTTTTGTAACTCCCACAGCAACAGTTGCAGCAAGAAGCTTCGAGTTACCAGCAATACCCGCTACTTCGAAGATCTCGGGGCTGTAATACACGGTTGCATCAATACCCGTGATC